GTGAGTGCCAGGTAATGAAGGCCTGGGGCAGGGGTGGCTTGGAGGGGGTCAATTAGGGAAAAAAGGGAACATATATAATACTTTCAACAATAAAGGATTATTAAAAAATAAATAAATATAAACCACCCTAGTATCAAAAAGACTTTGCACTTACTATATGTACTATTCCCTATGGCAGAATCAGAGTAAACGTTAATTATTATACTTATGATTTGCATGATAACTGGTAATATAAAATAATGCAAATAAGACCCTACAACTGAGGAATTACTCAGATGACAGATTTTCTTCTCTCAAGGCTCTTTTCTATTTCTTTTGAAAGAAATAAAAATAATTAGAATTGACTGTTAATATTTACATTTCATCTTCAATTTTCTAATATCCAACTCTGAATTAGTAACTCTTCATTTTATTCTGATGTTAGTAATTTTTAATGCAGATGCTCCAACAGTTTTTTTTTTTCTCAGCCCAGATTGTACTTGTACATTTCCTTCTATGGTGGACACAAAGTTATTTATGAAAAAGTTCATTATATTTCTGTTAATTATACAATCTGACTCAATGGCTGTCTTTAGGCTTGTTTTTCTTATACTGCAAATTGAACTACCTGTTTTACCCAAACATGCAACATGCCTGCTCTCCAGTCCCTGGCTTTGCTCTCTTACTCCTGGGAATGCCCTTCTCCTTAGCTCTGTCTTTTGTGATTCTGACATTATTCTCTAGAACCAATTCAAATGCCAAATTGCTATTCTCTGCATAGCACTTCGCCACTCATTACTCTCTTTCTGATTTGTTTATTATTTGAGATATATTTTAAAAAGGAAGCTTTTTAAAGCTTCCCCCCCCTCCCCCCCCCGCCGCAGCACAATCAGGGCCTTTTCTTGTTTACTGAAATCCCAGTGCCTAAAACAGTGCATAGATGGTAAGCACATTAAGTATTTGTTGAATGAGCAGAAAAAAATATTTATCAAACCAATTTAAGGATAAAATAAATATAGTAAAATTCTCTATAAATAATGATTTAAAAAAACAACCACCTATAACCATTTGTGTTCCAAAGTATAGGTTGGCACTTCAGCTTAATCTAGTGTTATTTTGACAAAGCTGTGAGAATTAAGGAAGATAACGTGATATTTTGAATCAGTCAAAAATAATTTCTAACACCAAAGGCTGAAAGAATTCCAGTTTGAAGGTGCTATTTTTCTCATATGTAACTGTGCTTGTTATACTCCATTTATAATCTAACTAAACACATTTTTGGTATGCTAACATTTTATGCAAACCTCTTGATTTTGTCACATAATGAAAAAAGATTCAATGAAGTAAAAAAGACCTTAATGTAGTTTTGAATGATTTTTTTTAACAAAAATAGATTTTATATTTCAAAGTAGATAGTCATTTTAATATTAACCTATATAAAATGAAACCTGTATCATAGTTTTTTTCTACTTTAACTTAAATTTCCTATATGCATTCTTCCTTTTTAAAATATATCTCAAACATAACAACAAAAGAGGAAGGAACTCTGAAATACAATGCTGAAATCATGAAATCTTCCAAAGTACAAAATAAAGTCTTTTTAAATGTTTTATATTTTTTTAATAAAATGTATTTTCATTGATTTTAGGGAGAGAGGAAGGTCGAGGAAGAGAGAGAGAGAAACATAAATCAGCTGCCGCCTACCTGCCTCCATCCCACTGGGGATCCAGCCTGCAACCTGGGCAGCAGCAACCTCTCAGTGCAGAGGGCGGAGGATGATGCTCAATCCACTGAGCCACTCTGGCCAGGCTAAAGTCTTTTTCTTTTTTTTTTTATAATATATTTTTATTGATTTCAGAGAGGGAGGGAGAGGGAGAGAGAGATAGAAATATCAATGATGAGAGAAAATCATTGATCAGCTGCTTCCTGCATTTCCCTCCTTGGGGATAGAGCCCGAAACCTGGGCATGTGCCCTGACTGGGAATCGAAGGGGTGACATCCTGGTTCCCGGGTCGACACTCAACTACTGAGTACACCTGGCTGGGCTAAAGTCTTTTTCTTAATGAACAGCATAGGCACTACTAAACAGGTGTTACTTAACCTCTGAGTTAAATTGCTTAACCTTTGAGTCTCAGTTGTGCTTATCTATAAAATGAAATAACAATACCTACTTTTTCTGGGCTGAAAAAAGGAGGAAAGAGAAAACAGCCTAGCACCATGCCTGGCACATATAAAGTGCTTAGTAAGTATATATTGAATGAATGAATTCCATTAAAAACACAGGTGCCAATGAACTAAATTACTATATATAGTTTAATGAAAAATAGTAATTAATGATTGTGCAACCAAATAGCTAAAGGTATAATCACATGTGTTTTAACAGTTCCCTGATTCATACACAATCAACAGAGCAGCATATATGTGAATAAATCAAGTACATTGACCTTGAAACACTATGGGTGGCATAGGAGTGGTCCAAGCAATTATTCAAGAGACTTAAGTATGGTCACATCTACCCAAGCAAAAGAAGAGATTACAGAAATTTTCTTATGTCTTAAATAGAAATTCACATATGTTATTGGAGAGATAGTAGTTAGTTATTTATACTTCATTAAAAAATAAATTCTAACAGATAATGATTGTTTATTACTCATTTTCTATACCTGCATAGGCACAAGCTAAAAGCATCGAAGTTCTCCCTATTAGAAATAATAACCAATTAATGTATGATAAATTATGCTTCCTCTTACTTTCCCTTTCAGTCCCTATGAAAACCCTACATTGTCAATGCCGTAAGAATAATAGAACAAATTTTCAGTTAGGGAGCTCAAGGCATAAGTCTAGAAACAAACATGTTTGGTGTTGGGGATACATTAGGAAACAAAGATAAAAAACCTTCATGGGCCTTACAATCTCAGATTTGTGTTGAAATAGGTACAATGTATGGCTTTTAGAGTTGTGAATGAAGCTGCTCAAATACATATTCATAATAAAGTATGTTCTTAAAGAACTGCATTAGTAGCTAGGGGATTTGTATGTTCTTTTCATCCTCAATTATTGAATGAGGTTTGATATTTTGTGCAAGGCCTTGGAACATAATATGCTTTTATTGTGCACAATTCAACTTCTTTCTGTTGTTTGATTTAGGGGATGTGAATAATGATAATCAAGCAGAATTGTTGCTTCTTCCTCAGTCCCATAGTACTTCCTTTCTGTGATGCTTAGAGCACTTCCTGCATAGCTTGCTCATTTGTCTCCCAGCCTGGACCCAGCACTGTCCAGGGACAGGGCACATCTCATTAATCTCCGCAAGGCCAGAGCCTAGCAGAGTGCTTGCCGCACAGTTCAGGTGGGATGTATGTTTGCTGTATGTATAAATTTACATATGCCTTACTGTTTTCAAAGCACATTCAGACCCTCACAAACTCAGCAAGATTGAAAGGTAGAATTAGTTTCCTCGTTTACAGACTCTCAGTGAGAGTGAAGGTTATTCCCATGTTTGACAGGTGACGAAACGGGATCAGTGAGGAATTAGGTGATTTCTAAAGAAAACATAACTAAGATTTGAATTTCAAGATGAGGTTCTTTCTAAAACACTCAGCAAAAATATAGGCATGTTGAGCTATTTCGGGGATGTCTTTAGGGTCTGCTGGATGTATGGCCATTTTCTACTTTCTCAAATCATTGGTGAAATCTTGCTTCCTTTTTAAAAAAATGTAGACCAATGTCCCAGCCAGTGTGGCTCAGCAGTTGAGCACCAACATATGAACCAGGAAATGGTGGTTCAATTCCTTGTCAAGGCACATGCCTGGGTAGTGGGCTCAATTCCCAGTAGGGGGTGTACAGGAGGCAGCTGATCAATGATTCTCTCATCAGTGGTGTTTCTATCTCTCTCTCCTTCTCTCTTCCTCTCTGAAATCAATAAAAATATATTAAAAAATAAAAATGCAGGCCTTGGATGCAAAAGATCTCCAGAAATCATCCATTTTGTCATCAGAAGACCATGATATGGATCACATACAAATATTTTGCTTTAAAACAGAATGTATTGCTGGCCAAAACAATTCTGCTCTGTTCTAGGGAAGGGAATGGAGGCAGCTTTGTCCTTTACAATCCTAAACCCACGGTCATCACCATTCTGCTTACATAAGATTTCTATATACTTCTTAATTCCTTTACCAGGAAGGGAGTCCCTACAGTGGCAAGATAGTGAAAGCAGTTGAAGAGGTCACAGCCAGTACTTGAAGGTTTTAGTAATTGGATTCTGATCAACTGACTCTAAAGTCACCCTTTTAATAACATCACATCCCACTAGATCATAAGCTACAGGGAAGTAGGAGCTGTATTGAATTCCTAAATCAGGCCAGGGCACATGGCATGTAACACTCCTAGCTCTATTCCTGACATACGTGTTAATAAGTGACAACCGAATAACCACTGGCTACATAGACCAACCTGAAAATGTGCTAGGTACATGTTCCACAAACTTAGTAATGGAACTCTCTTCGTGTTTTTTATTTAAAAAGAAATAAAACAAACTTCTTTATTTTTAAGAAGTTTGCTTTTGAGATAAGTTATTTTCTAGGCAATACACTCAGGTCTTTAATGGAGACCTAGTGATGGAACCCTGGCCTGAAGTCAGTTATCTTGCTGCTGTTACAAGTCAACATTCCAAATAATAACAATAACAGAAATTAACAGCAACTACATATAAATCCCAACATTTCTGAACTAGAAGCATTTTCTCCCCAGGGGATGGGATTACAGGTTTGACAAATTCTCTTAATCTGAAAAAAATAAAAATAAATTTAAAAAATCACCTCTCTACCTCCCTGCCCCCATCCCTCTTCAACCTTCTCCCCTCCCCCGGGGCGGCATACTCTGACCATTTCATCTCACTGGAAAGTTGAAAGAAAGCAACACGCCATCTGCACCCGTGTGTGCTCCGTGGGCTGGAACAGGGAAGTTCTCGGGCAGAGCCTTCCTCCCCGGAGCCGGCGATGCAGTCGCTCTGATACCTGCTCAGCTCCACGCGGCATCTGAAGGTCTGTCCGCAGCGAAACAGTTGCGTCTCCATCTGGCTGCCAACCCACCCAAGCTTTCTTCTCCTCCACCGCCGCCACCTTCCCTCCTCCCCGCTCCTTCCCCTCCTTTCCATCTTCCCTCTCCACCCCCGCCCCCAATCTCCTCCTCTTTTTCTCACTAAAAACGGTTGCTGCTGCTGAAGCCGAGCGTCACTTGGGCTCCCACCGCAGACATGGCGACATTGACAGTGGTCCAGCCGCTCACTCTGGACAGAGGTAAGGGAGCGACCCGCCCGTCAGCCCATTGCCTCCCCTCTGCCTCCTCTTCTGTCCCCGCCAACTGCCACCGGGACAGGCGGACATGCTCGGGCGGGGGGAGCAGAGCGAGCGAGCAAGGGCGAGCGAAGAAGGCGAGGCGTTCGCGCTGAGAGCTGGAGACTTTCTTCTCCTTTCTCTGCCTCGGCTCCCCGCCGGGCCGGCTAGGGGTGCCTTCGCCGACCCCGGAGCCCTCGCCGCCCCTCCCAGCCCCTCGCCGGGTCGCCGGGGGCCGCCGGCTTTGTTGGAGCGGATGCGGGGCGACCGCCCGGCGCCCGGGGCTCGGGGCTGCGGAGGGGCCGGGAGGAAGCTCGCCGTGCAGTGCCCGGCGGGGGCGCCTGCAGCCCGAGACCTGGAAAGCGCGGCTGGGGGGACCCAGGAAGGAGGAAGTTTGTCCCTGCGCTGGGGGCGATGGTCGGTCCAGCTGCCGGTGCCCAGGCAGCCGCCCGGGGGCGGGCCAGGCGCACCCCGGGGCAGCGGTGCCGGGGCGCACGGCGGCTGGGCTGCGGCGGCGGAGTTGCTCTTGGCCAAAAGGGCAACGCGGAGCGCGGGCAGCGCGGTGCCGGCCGGGGGCGCATCGTCACTGCAGCTGAGTCCCGTTATTCCCGGCTCCGAAGGCGGAGGGGGTCGAATCTGCCCCCACCGCCCGGTGGTCCCCGGCAGCGGCCACCCACAGTTTCCCTTGCCCCGCCAGCCTCGCTCTCTTCCCCCCGTAGCCACCGCGGTGCCCGGGCTGCGGAATGCGCTGGGACGCAGCGCAGACGGGATTGAAATTCAACTTCTGACCTGCGACCCTGTGCGCCCAGCTCTCTGACTTGATGGGGAAGCGGTGTTTGCTTTCCCCCCAAGTCCTCCTCCAGCCTGAGGGTGAAGACATCCGCTTCGATCGGGGCCTCGCTGCTGCACCCCTGAGGGGTTACACCTGTCACCGAGTGTTGGGTTTTCTTTCTGGCTTCCCCTGTCCAGCGGTGAAGGCGCTCGAGTCCCGCGACCCTGCAGCGGAGGACACCTGCTTGTCCCCCTCCGCAGCGGCCGGATTTAGGACCCTGGGTGGCCATTTGGAAATGGTGTGTTCAGACGAAAATGATTTACTTTGATGTGCCTCTAAAAATATTCTTTGGAGCGGCTTAAACCGGACTGTGGGGCGAGGCAGAGGAGCATCCTGCTGCGAGTACAGTGAAAGAGCCAGTGAGGTCTTTAATTTGGAGAGATTGAGGGTGACTTCAAGGCAATCTGTTGGCGCCAGAACAGATCTTATTTGGTGCTCATAGCAACTTCGCTTGGGGGTAAAAGTTGAAAAATTTTTATTTTTATTTTGGGAAATGTTAATTTGCAAACTTGTAAATTAATAACAGTAGTTAAAGAACTCAGAAATCCATTGTATAATCCATGATATCACTCCAGTACCATCATCTGCACTAAGCAGGATAAATCCATTGCCACTCAGAGCCAAACAGATGGCAAGCTACGAGAAATTATATATTTTCTAAGTATTTCTGTTTTAATGTAATGAGCTCTTATATTGTCTCATTACTTAATCAGTCTTTAAATAGCTCAAGTAAATCGACTACACTAGGAGAAAAAAAGCAAAACTCCAAGAAAATTGCATACCTGAGCAATTGATATACTGCTACATACTACTGAAAATATTTCACTTTTGGTTGTACCTCAGCCCTTAGATGCCTCCCTCAGTTGTGGAGAGGAAATGCAATCTGACCAAGATCTAGTCTTAAAGTTTGTTCTTGTTCACAGCCAGGCTGTCCCTGTCCTTCCCAGTGTGATTAGTTTCATGTAGTAGGTAGCTCAAGAGGCAAGCTGGGAGAGACAGTGGTTGTAGCTGAATAAATTAATTCACCAACAGCTCAGTGCAAAGTCTGTAATTTACTGATGATGGGTTATCGGTAGGATTGCTGTGCCTAAAGTCAATATATAAAAGTATTTTTATCTCTTCGTCATTAAAATACAATTAATTGATTAATTTCATCATTAAACTGATGAAATAAAGAATTTTGAAAAAAAAAAGAGTCTCTTAAAAGACGAAGCCAAATACTACTTATCTGGGTCCTAGTTGTAACTCTGATCCTTTGGATGAGTCAGTCAGTCTCTCTGGGCATCAGATTTCCACTGTGCAACATAAGGAGTTTGGCTTAGATGATTCTGACGCTGTGCAGCTTTAATTTGATTCATTAAAATGAGGACTCAGTTTCTGCTCACCTGCTGGAAGATTTTTCAAGTGCACCCCAGTTTCCCAGGTTGTTTTGATGCCCTTTGATGTGCACTGAGGTCACCTGCTGCTTTGGCTCCATCAAAACATTTCTCACACTGTTGCATCCTTCTCCTTCCTCCTTGAATAGAGCTCCTTCAAGGAAGAGACCGTTTCTAAACTCATCCTTGTGTTCTCAGTGTCTGACCTTGTCCCCCTACACAGTAGAAAAATCACACGTGAGTGTAAGTTAGTGTAAGTGAACTAAGGACGGCAGTGAACTTCATCACTGTTAAAATATAGGGATTCAGTTGTGAACTGAGGTACAGTTTATAGATTCACAACATTTTGGCCCTGGAAAGGATGGCAGGGAGAACATAGGCCGGCAGTTTAACCTTTCATTTTCCCTACATGCTTGACAATTACTCTCAGTTACCATAGCTCACCAAGGCTGTGATTATTAACCAAGGGGGATTGTAGCAGGTGGGCAAAGGAGAGGCAGGAAGGAAGATGTCTGACAAAACCTCCAAGGACTTCTCAGCAAGCCTGAATCCATATCCATAATTTGAGAGCCAGTTCCTTTTTAGCATCTTCATTTTTCAAATGAAAAACATGAAGGAAAGGACAGGATACTATTCTAGGTACTAGGAGGTTTTACGCTACAATCTAATTTTTCTTATTTGATGCCCTTTGGCACCATAAATGGATTTATCTGGAATCTTCATGGCAAAGGTTTTAAGCAAACTAATCAAAGCTATGGATTGAAATTATGATTTACTCCTCCCAGAATAGAAAAGACATCTGAAAGGGAGACGCTCAGAGTAGGTGCTAGCTTCTTGGGTCTTGTCTGGGAAGCAAGCCTCTGCTAGGACCAGCCTGGGCCCTGAAAGGATAAACAGGCCAGTTTAAGGTTTTCACTTCTCTGTGCATGTCCTAAACTTTCCATCTGCCATTAAGACCTCATATTAACTTTGTGGAGGCCTCTGGTACCTATTGGCAGAAGAGGTTCCTATTCATTCTGGTCCCAGTCCTGATGATTTTTCATTTATTTATTGTATGTCTACTATGTGTGAGACCCCACTATGGGATTGGCATGCATGGTGAGCTAAACAGACATAATTCATCTTTGTTGTAATTAGAATCTACCCGGAGAGAAAGATTAAACACACACACGCACACATATATGCAAACCATTCATTATTTATTTATTTATAACCTACTCTATACAAGATGCTGTAGGAATACCAGAAACAATGTTCCTGCTTTTATGGCCCTTAAGAGTCTAGTGGGAGAAACAGATAATAAGTGAGGAATTAATTAATTCAACAAATAAGTATTGAGTGACAGCCTATGGCAAGCACTGTTTTAAGCAATGTGGCAGTACTAAGGCACAAAGCAGATAAAGTTCTAATGGAGTTTACATGCTAATGAAGGAGTCGCACACTGAACACATGCATATACTAGTACAACTATAAGTGCCAGTGAGAAAAATAAGACTGCGTCCAGGAGAGCAGTGGGGGCTGCTGTGTGAAGTATGATAGTCAAGGAAGGCCCTCTGGGTTGGTGACATTTAAGAGACCTGATGAAACTTAGCAGCAAACTTTGCAGCTGTGCTCTGGAGAAGAACCTCCCTCCCGTGTGCACCCTGGGACCATGAAGGAAATTGTTGAGAAGACGTGAGCACAGCGGGGAGTCATAGGAACTGGGTTGTGAGGAGTTGATAACCAGGAGCTTAATGATGTATCTTATACAGAGGATTTTAGATTAATTGAAAATATGAAGTGCTCACAAGACAAGTAACATGACATAAGGATAGAGGAAAATAGGGAAGGACCCATTTAGATAGTGTTGGTTTAGGAAGGCTCACTGAGAAAGCAACATTTAAACAGTTCTGATCCTTACTAATAAAAGCCTAAGTAGTCCTCACGCCTTGATGCCCTCACACCATCACAAGATGGCTGCGCACACAGCCGGGCACTTACAGGTGGGCGGGGCTGGGCTTGACGCTGCATGCGGGCATGGAGCCTGCCTGGGAGTCCCGCCTCCTCCCGGCTCCCGCCTACCTCTTTGGGGCGATCGATGGCGAGGCTCCAGCACTGTGACAGGGGCTCCAGCACTATGACAGGGCACAGGCCAGGCTGCCCCCGCCCCCTCCCCCCCAGTGCACGAATTTAGTGCACTGGGCCTTTAGTGTATTAATAAGATCCTTAGGAAAAAAGTATTCTGGAAAGAGGGAAGAATACACATAAGAGCAGTTTCATATGTACAACTCAGCTACTATCTCTTTAATACATCTATAACCAATCAAATGATTGAAAAATATTACCAAGGAATAATAACACTCTATGTATCCTTTCTTGGTTATAAGTATACAAAGAAAATCTATAGATCTGTGTTTTGCTTCATTTTCCTAAGCTGAAGCATCATATGTTATAACTAGATTTTCAAATGTAATTTAAATAGATATCACTATGCATAAATTTACATGTGAAATATATTCATTTTCATTTTAATATTTTATATTAGACAGTGCTGTAGAAAGTAGCACTTGATAGTTACTCTTGTGGCAAAGAAAAGATGCTGATAAGGATATTAGTGTGGATCTTCTCTTCCAGAATTTAAAGCATTCACAGCAATTCTTCTCTACAGCTGAGGTTAGTTTACCCAGATTTCAGTCTCTAAAATCAGAAATGACCTTCAGTTAAACTCAAGGGAACAAAGCAAGGTACCAGCCATGACATTTAACACCTTCATAACA